GATGGAGCTAACTGTATCAATAAAGATGGCACAATACTATTGGTGAAGAGCAGATGGAGCTAACTGTATCAATAAAGATGGCACAATACTATTGGTGAAGAGCAGATGGAGCTAACTGTATCAATAAAGATGGCACAATACTATTGGTGAAGAGCAGATGGAGCTAACTGTATCAATAAAGATGGCACAATATTGGTGAAGAGTAGTCATACGATATGCACATATTCTAAAATGGCACAAAATTGATGAGGTATATAGACTGGTGCACTAAGCATGAAAATTTTTTACCAGTGTTTAGAGAGCACAAAGAAGATTGAGATAGCTTTGTATGACTGTATCAGAAATGCACTTAAACAGCAAATAATAATATATATTAATCGACATCTGTAATCAAATTAGTGTAGTAATCTATGCTTGGTGTATTGTCACCCAACCAAAAAAAACAACAACACAAACTGGTGGGAAAACCAGAAATTTTTTCGTCCAGCTTATAATTAGTTATACTTTTTTTGAGAATGAGAATGCCCTTCTGATAACATTTACTTGGTGTTTAACTCTTTTAACATGGGTTCAGTCCCAAGTACTGACCTCATAACAATTTTGTAATTGCTATAGTTTTCATGCTATAACTTTTAAATTAGTAAGCATATCTTCACAAAATTTTGCTTATCATCGGTAAACATTACAAGGCTTTCGTATGCAAAATATCAGATTCTTTTTATTAAGTTTTAATATTTCTTAAGTAATGTTTTTCTCATACCTTTTTTTCTTTTTAAATGTTGACTATCCCAGATGCAAAGTAAATTTGATTTTAAGATTTTTTTGTATACAACTTGTAACATTTTTCAGATTGAGAGAGTAGTCAGCTGTACTTTGTGTTTCAAGCATTATTGATTTATTTTCTGGATAAAACCCAATCTCCACCTGAATATTCACTCGTTCTTGATTATACCCAAAAAATTTCATCTAATTTTGCCTAATTTTTTTAATAAAAGATTTTACCCAATTTCAAAAACTCGAATTTAGAAAAAAAATTTCCCCTGATAATTAGAACCCCTAGTTATGAGGTTTGTATATCTTATATAAAAGAATGGCATTTTAGGAGTGCTAGATGATTAAATAAACTTTATTTAGAAGAAGATCATGATGTTTTTAATTGTTGGTTTAACACTCTGTTGGAATAAAACATCATCAACTTTAGTGCAGAAATTTCAACCTCTTTCTTCAATATATAATTAACTTTTCCAAATGAGGAGAGTGTATCCCTCGTCTGCTGGTTTAATCACAATTCTTTGCACTTCCGTAATGATGATAAAGCATCTCTTTCTTTTTCGGATAAGTTTTTCCATTTGTATATCTTTTTCAAGTTGAGAAATTTAATGTCAGTTTAAATAATTTAAAAATCTTCTCTTCTTCATTATTTATGATTTTTTCTTTATCTTATTTATCTACTGTATTATTTAAATTGTATCACATTGTTTCACTTTCATATTTGCTTCCACTGTTTGTTTTGAGTACACGAGCACGCAAGTTCTGAAAACATATAACTGTCAATTATTTAATTTTCTGATGAAGAGCAGTTGTTAGATAAAATAACTTTATCTCTATTTCAATATTGTACTTTAGTGACTATGTTTTGTTGCATTAATCTCTCAACATTATGTGAATTCGAGTTCGGAAACTTCATCATTTCTGCTATAATGTCAAACTTAAGAAGTTTTTATAAACCATATGTTGAAATATGCTACAGTTTTCACAGCTACATCCCAACAGTATTTTATATTGTTATCCCAACAATATTTTCCATACTGCCTTATACCTCCTTTGTTCTACTTTTACCAAGGCAAGATACTGTAGCCACATCAATTTTATTCCAACTTGTTTAAAAAGAAATGTCATACCTTTCATATTCCATTACACATTTCGACAAGACCACTGAACTAGCTATATCGTAAATGTCTCCATACGATCTACACACAACAAGTGCATCTAACCCATAATAATTACTGCAAGATTTGCAACATGTATTCTCAAGATATATTACACAGCTGCACAATCCTTATGATCAAAGTATTGTAAGAAACGTTCATGTGCATATTCATTAACTTAATTACCATTAACTCATTTGTGAAAAACTTAGAGAACTCAATTCTTCTTATGACTCAGTAAATGTCTTGACCAACAATAAATGTGTTGTCATCACATCACCTGAATTAATACTCAGTGATAATGCTTGAAGATGGCTTGAATGGGTATTGAAGAAAAACTTTAATATAACAGCAAATGTACAAAGTTTCGACAAGGTTTTGTCATCATCAGGTATTTGTTATTCCATGTATAACTTTTTAACTATGTTCTCTCACCTATCCACCACCATAAACCAATTATACCGTGAAACTATCTTTAAACTTTGTAACCTGAATATAAAAACCATTAAAAAGTAGCTGATGATGCCAAACCCTTGTCGAAATGTTGTACATTTGCTGTTATGTTAAACTTATATTAAAGTTTTTCTTCATTACCAATTCAAGCCATCTCCAAGCATTATTAGTCTTAAAGTGGGTCATCAAATTTAACACTCAGTGATGCGGAACATCACATCCTATAAAAAAAGGACTGCATTTTGTACATCCAGACCTAAACCTGATGAATATATTCTGTCAAAGCAGACTTCAGCTTAAAGGGGCGATGTATGTTACATTGTTGTTTAATTTGGTTGGAGTTGGATCATTTGTTCGTCTTGTGAAGATCCATCGGTCTCTATGATGCCCTGATTCTTATCTGTGTCACTGATGGTTCATGAGAAAAATGGAACTAGCTTGAACACAAAAAAGTCATTATTAGGAACTCTTCTCTGCATGTTCAGATCAGACATTAATTCTCTCAACTTGGAAAGACTTACAAACAGAAAAACTTAACAGTATTAGTATTGGTCAATTTTTTTTTTTTTTTTACACGTCAGCATTGGTTATCAAGTAAAGAATGATATCAGTACTCAGAACAATGGGGTCACTAGACAGGAAACAGTTAAGTGTATATAGTTAAAATCATCTATTAACCCTATCCGCCCGGGCATCATTTAGTGTGCATGTCACTAGGTTTTAGTTGCTTACATTCAAAATTCTATTAAACTACTTTTTGTTTATATTATATCAATTAGTATAGCATACAATTGTAACTAATAATCCACATTTTAAGTTCTTAATTCTATAAGGCAATATCTAAATAAATCCTGAATTTCCCCTAGTATGAGAAAGGTGACATATTCTGTAGGCATCTCCTCTTCTCTATTTTATTCCCCACCTTTCCAATAAGTAAGAAATTCAACGTAAATTACTCACTATAAAATCTTCATTGCCCAGACAAACCATAATTTTTATAGCTTTCAATTTTATTTGGTTACAGAGCTATCAAATAGAAAATCAGATCACTCTTGCCACACCTACCTGTCACATCCTCTTTTTCAGGATTTGTTAATAGTTCTCTCTTATGTTTCATTCTATATTATCTATAACCAATAAAAATACATGTTTTCATCTATCAAATGACTATTATATTACATTGTGTTCTGAAGAGAGAATTGTCAATTTATCTTTTAGTACAAGTTTCGTTCCCATGGGAAAGATAATGGCTAGCTTGGATGAATTTGTAACAGCTCTTGTAACATAGTTAGAAAGCCAGAAGAACTGTGTTGGTCAGAGGAAATTGTCTGCTTTTTGCATGTTATTATTCTATGTTCTTTTGTGCATTATTTCATTAAATAAAAATTATTCAGTGCATTACTACCATTAGTATAAAAAAAGTAAGGTTAGGTGTAATCAACAGTCAACAGCAAAAAAAAGAAGACACAGGTAAGTACTATGTTTCTTGTTTTTCATGTTTATTCTTTATATATTATTATAAAAGTAACTAAAATGAAAAAATAAGGATCTTTTTAGATTAGTTAAAGTTAGATTAGGTAAAATAGATAATAATAATAATAACATAATAACAATATTTCACAAGGTACGCATGCGAGCAGCTCAGAGTAACTCGTGGTAATGTAAATCAATAGCGTAATGTGAGCTGCATGTTCCCCAAGTGATTTACAACTTATAATGGTGAGAATAATAGTTAGACATGGTTCAAAAGGCAATAAAACAATAAAATTTAATTATAAATAGATGTATACTGTTATGAGTTTAAAGCTACTTAGGATAAACAAATGTAGTTTCATGTTACAATTTGAAGTCATTCTAGAAAGAAAAAGTGGGTAATTTAGATTTATTTAGATTTTTTTGTGTGATTAAGAGGTCGGTCAAATTGACCAACCTTGTACAGTTAGAGTAGAGAAAACAACATAAAGCATAAAATTTTACTGAAATATATTTAGGAGGTTTTAGAGATTACAAAAATGAAATTTGAGAGTTTTGAGATGAAGGAAAGTATTTTTAATCATAACATGAAAATCACTTTGCATATGGACTATTCAAAACAAATAAACAATATATATTCATGGACAAATCAATTTTTTAGTTTATTAAAAATACCTCATTAAAAAATATGATTTTTTGCATGTGAATGACTTATAATGTTCCCTGAAAGACTGCCAAATATTGTGAAGGTATACATGCTATATTAAAAGTTAGTAGTATCAAATCTATTAAGACTTTGAACAAATAAAAAGAGGTCGTGGTCTGTCAAATTGACCAAGCCGATATTGAGAGAGTTAATATCATGTCGGTTTGGTTTCTTTTGAATATTGTGCAAAGCTACACAATGGCTATCTGCACTAGCTGTCCCGAATTTTGCAGGGAAAGACTAGAGGGAAGGCAGCTAGTCTTCACCACTAACTCTTAAGCTGCTCTTTTTTCCAATGCATAGTGGAATTGACTATCACATTATAAAACCCTCACAGCTGAAAGGGCTAGCATGTTTGGTAGTATAAGGATTCAAACCCACGACCACAGATTGAGTGCCTCAACCACATTAATATTGTGTTCTCTTGCTTTTCTGTCTTTAATTTTGACCAATTTGACTCTGTACAGGATTGAAATGAAGAATGCCTATACTTACAGCAAGTAGTGACTTCCTATCATTGAAACCCTGACACCATGCTGGTCCTGATGTGACTGGAACAGAGTACTGAAATACATTTTTAAATTTTGCTGTTAGTAAAAAATATTAAAAACAACTTACATATATTTAATTTTTTAAGTAGAAAACACAATGATCTGAGCATATTTAACTTTAATTGCACCAATGGTAAAATACATTTCCCACATTTGATGACAATATTTTTAGTTACGTTGCTAACAAATGAATTATTAGAAATATTAATAAAATAAAATAAATTAATAGAAATAATAAAATTAATCTTCAAAACTGTTGAATCAGTTCATCAAGGTTTGATTTTTTTTTCATATCCCAAAATTTAGGAACAAGAAAGGAGAAAAAGAGACAAAAAGGCTCAAAAAATTACCACAGTTCTCAGAAACAACTGACCAAAAAGAGAAATTATAATTTTTTTAGATCCAAACACATTAAATAAGTTTAGGCAAATTTAATTGAGTAATGTAAACTATTTCATCAGCAAAACTAACTAACAATCATTTTGACAGAAGTCCGCAACCGAGTTTCCAACATTTATACTTACTATCTCTAAACTTCACTTTTAGAACCTGTTTAGGCACTGTTCACTGCTGGTGGAATCTGTATTGTCCTTATTGAGTAATTTCATGCTTTTGCTTGTTATAACATTTAGTTTAAAGAACTGACAAAAAACTGGATAAAATAGCAGTAATTAGTGTGATTAACTGTAATATTGCCAATATTTTTATTTTATATTTTGCGTAACTCGTATATTACTATTAAGGACCCTGTTATCAACAATATCATGGCACATAAAGAGTTTGATGGTAGAAAGCAAAAGTTAAATCCAGCCTAAAAATTAATAGGTGAATAAAAACTTGGTTTGATGGCAGAAAGCAAAAGGTTGTAAGAAATAAATGTATTTTTATTTATCGAAACCTGTTGTAATGTGCGTACCTTTATGATGATGATTTGGATAGCTCCTTTGGCGTAAAAGCCGATACTGTTAATAATCTCTCTTTAATTAAGATGGACCTGGACAATTATGATTCATGATAAAGATTAACAATCAAAGGTTTTCAGAAATAGAAAATAAGCTATCTATCAGGGTGTTCCCTTCCCAGTAAAAATCAAACAAACATGGAAACTGTAACAAAAAAAACTCAAATAACTTTGTTAGAAAGGAATACAGTTTACTAAAACTGATAGGATATAAGCTAACTAATTTTATTAGTAGCTTAAAAAGCTAATTCCTTTTCCCATTTAGTTCATCCAAAGTTTTAAAACAACTTATGTCAGGGCTAGAAGCGACATTCACAGAAAGTTTCCATATTTTCTAAAATAGATTTTTCTTCAACAAAAATAAAATTCAAATAAAGCTTTTATCCCTTTTTATGAATTTAGTGAGATGAAGAATCTCTCTCTCTCTCTTTCATCATCAACAAAAATGCTGGTACAAATTGTTTACATTACAGTCGTGTTTCTTTCCTTTTTAGTAATGTTTCCAGTGATATCCATTAAAAACCAATATGGTTACACGCTATTTTTTAATCATACATGCATAAAACCCTTATTATAAAATTCAATGTTCTGGAGTTACGAGATTTTTTATAGCCTTCTTTTATCTTAAGAATTTTCTGGATTTCTTTTTCGATAAAATCCAGCATCCATTACTTTACTAGTAAACTTCAAATTCTAATAGGTTTTGAAAATCTTATTTTTTTTTTACAGTTTAATTCTCCAAACTTTCCATCACTAGATGTTTTCCAGAAATGTTCACCACAGAGTTTTGAACAGAACGTTTGTACCTGATATTCACACAAATATACAAAATTAAACATTCTTATTTTTGTTTCATCTAGGATGGCTAGGATTGGTGAACTATACCCTGCCAGTCTCGTTTTATTGAGTCAGGTTTTATAATTTTAGTAAGCTGTGTATTGTCACAGTCTATATTTGTTGAGCTAGGACATGTTGAGCTATACCCTGACAGACTGTTTCTTTTTTGGAGTTAGAATGTCCAAACTTGTTGAGCTATATCCAGCTGTTCTGTTTTTGTTGAGTCAGGTTGGTTAGGCTTGGTGAACTATACCTTGCCAGTCTCTTTTTATTGAGTCAAATTTTATAATTTTAGTAAGCTGTATATTGTGACAGTCTATTTTTGTTGAGCCAGGACATGTTGAACTATCCCTGACAGATCGTTTCTTTTTGAAGTTAGGATGTTCAAACTTGTTGAGCTCTATCCAGCTATTCTATTTTTGTTGAATCAGGTTGGTTAGGTTTGGTAAGAGCTACTCTACTAGCCAGGCTTTAACAGATAGTTAGTACAAGTTATTATTTTGTGCTATCAGTTATTATAACTTTGAATTTAGATGTTTCTTGATTACTTATAATCGAGAAAATAAATGGCAAAAATAGTTGTAATTCATTTTTTATTGTGATGGTTGACAATTTTTCTCTTACAACAAAATTAATATAGAACTTGAAAGTGTGTATCTAGTTAATGAAATAGGTACTCAAAAAAGAAAAACTGAATAATTAAAAAACTTCAGAAAATTTATATCTAGTGAAACATTTGCCAGAAAAAACAACATTTTTTCTTGGTTTTAACTTAGTTTGTTCATATGTGAGAACTCATAATATGTTTATGTCATAACCTCTTAGTATTCAATATTAAAAAACACTATTCGTTATTAACCAGCTCTTCTCATATCTTATGGAAAAGTGATAGAGTATTGTTGTAACAAAATTTCACATTTCATAGCAGTGTTTTTTCATGAAGATAACTGCAAAATAGCAACTTCAACAGTGCCTTACTCATTCATAAAAACTTGTATTTAGCTTACTTTTGGGACAAGCCGTAAGAGGTCGTATTCAGTAATATAACCCTGAAGTCCGCAGGAAAAAAGTCTACCTTTACACCACACCACAGCTTCTACTGAGCAGCCTGGGTCACCTGGTATCACCTAAATGGTATAATACATACATGGTATAATACACACAAACTGTAAACAGAACTTCAACTTAGTTTTTGATAACTAGATGTACTTCTGCTGGGTCCCCGAAAGCGTTCTGTTTAAAGAGTAAATAAAACCAAAATTAAGAGTTACAAATTTTTTTATTTCTTGCCTTTGAAGTTCATATGTCATGCTGTGTTGTAATACATAGAGTCAATAATTCTTCTCGTGATTCGTGGAATGCACACGTTTTAATGATGCCACAGTACAAATTGCAATGTTAAGCATTTCTTATGTGACGTCATTTTAGTGACTGACTGACAAACTACTGTGATGCAAGTGGTTAAAACAAGTGACCCTTCCAGACTATCTTCGGCCCCCTTTCAGGGAAATTATATATTATTATTTAGTACAAAATATATTATTATTTAGTACAAAATATATGTCATACTTTTGATTGGCATTTCTATAATATTTAGTAGGAATTATTATGAATTTATCATGTACACTATTTATTGAATAAATTGTAGCCTGTTACAAAAAAAAACAGCTACAAAACAGTCAAAGTTTTAAACAACTATACCAACTTTAAAGGATGCATAAGCCATTTAATCATGTAATCATTTTTCAATCTTTTTGATAGAAAAAGAATGGGTTACTGATAAATATTCATCTTGTAAAAAGCCTAATAAGATGAAACTTAAAATAAATACTTTGTTCTGATTCAGATATTAAAGGAAACGTTTTTACTCCATGATGATTGGTAGATATTAAAATACTGCTTTTTTCAGAAAAGAAGGTACTGTATATTAAACACAACACTGGCTTAGATGTATATGAACACACTCACTGTAACTTTCAGAAAAAAAAGATATATTATTTATTCTATCAGATTACTGTATTATCACAATATTTAAAACATATTACACAGATTTATAATGACTAATAAGTGGTTGAAACAAATTTTAGTACACATAGCAATGTATATTTTTGTGTATTTTGAAATAAGTAAATAGAAAACACTGAAACTTACACTCTCTTGGAAATGAGTATTGGAAAGGTTCCATATCTCTATCGAAAAATCTGACCTAAAAAATAAAATATCAAAATGCTAATCACACTAATTAGATTTGAAAAAAATTCTCTACATGATTTTTTTACACATTTTCTGTTTTTCTTCTGGCTTTGAAAAATTCATTTAAAACTAATAAAGACAAGTACAAAAAATACACACATAAAAACAATATCATTTTAGGTGCATACACACATTTGTACATATATGTACTACAATTCTTATTTCTTTTGAAAATTCATTGGTTAGCTATATTAATATGAAGGATGTGTTTAAACTGAAAATCTTACATGTATGTGTAAATGAAGATTGACCTCAAGGGTGAAAGTTTTGTAACCTTGTTTTTTTCCTTATGATTATTTTCACAAGTCATTTCCAGTTTTATACTCTAAATTTAGTATGCATCATCTGCAGCTTGTAAAATACAGGGTGGTCCAAAATTAATTTCTTATTTTAAAATATAATAAATAACTAACCAAAGAAATACAACCATGGAGTTTTAAACATCATGTAGCCCAACTCAAACAGTTTTTATTGTCATGTTTATTTTCACTCCAGTAATTAGTGTTACCCTGTAAAATGACAACAGTGCAAGAAAAGGCTCAATGCATCATTTGGCTTGCAGAGACACCAAGTCAGTGACTGTGGTGCAGTATAATTACAGATACTAGTACAGTTAATAACCACCATTGAAACTATCTGAGAATGGATGAAGAAGTTTCTGAGGATAAGCAGTGTGTTACAACGATCGGGAGCTGGAAGGCCCTCTGTCAGTGATGAACATATCAAACAAGTACACAAAGAAGTTTCTGAGGACAGGCAGTGTGTTACAATGATCGGGAGCTGGAAGGCCCTCTGTCAGTAATGAACATATCAAACAAGTACACAAAGAAGTTTCTGAGAACAGGCAGTGTGTTACAACGATCAGTAGCTGGAAGGCCCTCTATCAGTGATGAACATATCAAACAAGTACACAAAGAAGTTTCTGAGGACAGGCAGTGTGTTACAACGATCAGTAGCTGGAAGGCCCTCTGTCAGTGATGAGCATATGAAACAAGTACACAAATCATTTTAGCGTAGCCCACGAAAACCACTTTGGCATGAGAACTTAACATGACATAAAAATCCCTGCACTGTGTCATTCACAAATGTCTTCATCTGCATGACTACAGACTTCAGTTGGTACAAGTACTGCAACCAGATGACAGACCAAAGCACAAGACATTTGTGGTGAACCACCTTGACTGCATAGATGAAGACAACACATTTCTAGCTCGTGTACTGCTTAGTAATGAAGCTACATTACCCACCTAAGGTAAAGTGATTCATCATAATGCCCACATTCGGGGCTCAAAAAACCCCATCACACCACTGAACTCATGCATAGCCCAAAAATGAACGAGTGGTACAGTTGCATGTGTGACAAGATTATTGATCCTTTCTTTTTTTGCTGAGAGAACCATTACCAGGTGCATGTACCTTGACATGCTGGAACAATCTGTGGTCACACAGCTGGAGAAAATGCAACCACACATAATCTTTCAACAGGATGGTACTAAACATCACTGGAGATTGTTGGTCAGATGCTTCCTAGATCAGACATTTCTGAGGTTATGGATTGGTCTGGGTGGGCCAATTCCATGGCTTCCATATTTGCCAGATATCACTCCACTAGACTTCTTTGTTTGGGAATATGTTAAAGATTCATGTATCATACATCTATATCAAACATCATGGAGCTAAAGACCAGGATAACAGATGTCATTGCCAGTGTAACTATGGACATATTGGTTAAACGTGCTGAGAGCCACTAATGGTGCACACACAGAAGTCTACTTACATGTGAATAAAAACTGTTTGAGTTCGCTATAAGATGTTGAAAACTTCTTTAGTTATTAAATTTCAAAATGGGAAAGATAATTTTGGACCTGTAGTTTATGAAAATTAGGTTTAAACATTGATTTATTAAATGCAGCTTTGAATGAGAATTGCTGGTATTTTAACATTGAATCCTATTATTTTAAAACAGAACTGACTATTTCATTAGAAAAATGCATCTTCAGGTGCAAATATAAAATATAATTGAAAAAAAAAAATCAACAGATAATGTAAAATACTTTTAATAGTTAACATACTCTGCAAAAATAAATATTAACTTATAGCAAAATGTAATATTACAGGTCCTAATAGTCTAAGACATACAGTACGATAGAGAGCAATAAGAAATATAGTTCCTGTTCAAGTTTATAAAAAAATAATTTACAAACAAAAATGAAAAAGAAACATGAACAATTAAAACGTCATAATAATTGAATACTTGTTCTATACAGCTAACCTGAGCCTATCTTTTAAGAGATATATGTCTATACTGAGATAAGAAAGACAAAGAGAAAAAAACGCTTTTACTAAGTAGAGCACTGTTTTTTCTGCCTTGAAATCTTTACATAATAAACTGTTTGAAAAACTTTTTGTAATCCAAAGCATCACCTGAGTATAACTATGTCAAGAAATAAAACTGATTTCATTCTGCATGAAAAACAACCATTACTGTGTAGCACATATCCTGTGTAATTTGTAGAATGTTGCTAAAAGTTTTGTTAACTGTTCAACAAGTATGATGTACCTTCTAAAAATATCATCAAATTATCTGTCTAATGAAATATTAATTACACATATTTTAAAAGAATATAATGCAAGACTTATAATAAATATAAAAGTGAAATACATAACATAACTAAGTGTAATACATGATAAGTAATGGTGAAATAAACAGTTTGAAGTCAAAGGTATAACAAATTTTAAAATATTTATCATACACATCATATGCCAATATCACGAAAGGTGTGGTACATTTTCTTATTGCCAGCTGACTGGTGAAGAAAAAGTTACAAACAACTACACAAAACTTGAAGTTGATGCATATATAACAGTCTTAGTGCTAAAATTACTGTAGTTTAACTTTAAGACCATTTCTTCCAAACTCATAGTATAAGATCAGTTGGCCTAATTATAATCTAAATTTGGTAGTTCTACTTCTTATCTGTGTTTTTATTCCATTAATTACATATTTCAACAAAAATATCTTAACTTAATATTTAAATTACTTGCTGCTATAAATATCATCATCATTTCTATCATATTCATTTCCCACCATCATCTGTTATAATTATACTGACTGTTAATGTTATACATCTTGTATAACATGTTAAACTTACAATAACACAATATACAGGTAGGTACATCTTTTTCAATGCTTCTTAATTTAATTTAAAATTCAGACACAAAGCAACTGCTCAGTTCATTTAAAAATTAGTTATAATCATGATTATTTTCATTTTTACATTTCAATTAAATCCCCACAAATATTATAAAAAAATATTCGTCACATGCTTTACTTTTAGAACTTAATTAGATTATTTCAAAATGAATGGTTATTTATTTTTAATTTTGCTTCTAAACACAACTAGCTCGATGAGTAAGACTCTCCCAATAATTTCGAATTCATAAAATTAGGCCTAATAAGTAATAGTAATACTGAATAGTACTAGTAGTAATATAACTCAAGAAAAATTAAGTTCTATTCAACAACACTGCTCACCTTGCAACAGCAAGTTTCTTTGTGTTGTATTCGAAAGCAAGACAATGAATTGATTTTGGATCAGGTTGAAAAAAGTTAACGTGATGTACTCGAAATTTGTGTTTATTCATTTTAATTTAAAATTATAACACAAAAAATAATATATCAATTCTTCGACGCAAAACACATGGCATTCATTGAATGTACGCTGCTGACATCTATGATATACAAAGCAATAGCTATGTAGCTCATAATTAACAATGGATATACCTATATATATATATATAATACAGAAATAAGCGACACTACAACCCTAAATTAAGTTTTTATTTTTACCAGATTGGACACTCAACATTACACTTTTTAGCTGCAGGAGCGTACCACTAAAATACATACAGTAGCTGAAAGTACAAAGTTTTGGTTTATTTATTTGAGAAATTTTAGTACGTTTAGTACTCTATGTAATAGTGTTAAATTTTGAAAACTTAAACTGTTAGATGTAGTAACCCAAAATTCCTATAGCAAATGTAAATAATAATCATGAAAATTAAGGTAAATACGTATAGACATAAGGGTCACCCTTTATCCCTGCTCATTTGTGGTCGAAGTTGTTCGATTCTTATTTTCTTTCAATTTTCTATCGGTGTATTTAGTGGCTTTGATAAATATGTGTATAGAGAAGGGTGGATTCGTGTTGGAATTTACTTAATTATAATTAACTTAAAAAATGATTTGCAACTGCACTTTTCTCATATTGTAGCCTGTAAAGAGAGTTATGGTATTAGACGCAAAACACCCATCTCTAGACGTTTTTTGTAAGACAGTTGGCTTTGTTACACTATAGGAAACAACAACTTAGAGACTTTTCTCACAAATGTTAACAAATTCAAGAAACATATTGTTACGTCTCCGTTTGTTAATTAACTTTCCGTAACTTCGTTCCGACGAAACTTTAGAGACAGAAGTCCTTTCTTAATAAAACTGGTTTATTCTTTCCGAATATAACTTTACCGATACACTTATTTTCAACAGTCGCTCTATAATAACGAACTTCAACAATACGTCTCTCTCTGACTGCAGTTCAATTACTCACTACCTACGCACACATTGTTGTCCCGTCACGTTGTTACCCTCTTATATATATACCAGACTAACCTATATCTAGTAATCTCCCGACAATTCCCGAAG